TGAGCTTGGGGGTGCGGAGCGTGAGGGAGCTGGGCCTGCTAGTACTTTGCCGGGCGGTTCTCCGAATGCTTCTTCTCACCCGGAACCACTCTCTCGACAAGAGCTGCGTGAGTGGTTTGCCCGACGCTGGAGGCGAGCTGCTGGAGCTGGAGGTGCTGCGGGTACTGGAGGTTCTGTTGCTGCTGAGGGAGCTGGTGCCACGGGTCCCGAAGGTACTCGTACTGGGAGTACTAGAACTGCTGGACCTGTGGGTACTTCTGGAGCTGGAGCTGCAGCGGGGGTTGGCGCGGAGGCTACTGCTGTCGGTCCTGGAGGCGGTCCTGCTGGGGGTACTACTGGTGCTGCTGGAGGTACTGGAGCTGGAGCTGCTACTGGTGCTGGTGCTGCCACTGGGGGTGCTGGTGCTGTCCCTGCTGTGTCTGGAGTCGCTGCGCGGCCTCGGCCGTACTTCGTTCCGCTCCTTCAGCAGGTTCTTGGTCTCCCGTCGTCTACTGGTCCTCCTCCTCACTTAGAGTGTCCACAGCCTGTCCCGTCGCAGTTACAATTACAGCCGGCCTCCCCACTCCCTGCTCTGTCTCCCTACACTGGTCCTACTGGAGGTCTTGCTGAGCGTTGTGAGTCTGCATCTCGCCGTGTGTCACCGGTCCGTGCTGCTCGCACTAATGGTTGCGGTTCGCGTCAGCGTCCTCCTCCTGTCCCTGGCACGCACCGGATGTCTCTGCGTCCGTCCACTGCTCCTCTGCGTGCCCCGTTGCCTTCTCCTCCTGAGTCCTCTCTTCCTGTTCTTGCTGACCCTGAGTCGGACTCTCTTCGTGCTGCCAGTCCTACTGTCACGCGTCTCCTTGCTACTGTTGTCACTGACCCTTCTTTTGAGTCCACTGCTGTGTCTGCCCTAGTTGCTGAGCTCGTCGACTTTGCTGCTCGCTGTCGTCTAGACTACGCTGCTAGTCTTGTCGCTGAGTCTGAGTCTGTCTATCCTCCATCCGTCGGGGGTGAGTGTGCCCTTGGCACGGACGTCCTTGAGGACATGCAGGAGGATTTCCAGTGTCTAGCTGCTGCTTCACCTCATCTCGTGTCCGTACTGCTTACCCCTGAGGGAGACCCAGATGCACTTGACATCCCGACTCCGTGCTCTTACGCGGAGGCGATAGAGGGTCCCCACTCCTCTCAGTGGCAGGCAGCTATGGACGCAGAGATGGCTTCCTGGAAGTCCACAGGCACCTACGTTGACGAGGTTCCCCCACCTGGGGTGAACTTCGTCAATGGCATGTGGATTTTCAGGGTGAAGCGGCCGCCGGGTTCTCCGCCTGTCTTCAAGGCGCGGTACGTGGCTCGTGGCTTCAGTCAGCGGCAGGGAGTTGACTACTTTCAGACCTTCTCCCCCACCCCAGAGATGACCACTCTTCGGGTGTTGCTGCACATAGCCGCTCAGCGTGACTACGAGCTTCACTCTCTTGACTTCAGCACTGCTTTCTTGCAGGGTAGCCTGCACGAGGAGATCTGGCTGCGCCGCCCACCTGGCTTCACTGGGACTTTTCCTCCTGGCACCCAGTGGAGCCTCCGGCGGCAAGTCTACGGTCTCCGCCAGGCACCGCGTGAGTGGCACGACACACTGAGGACTACGCTTGCGGCTCTTGGGTTTGCTCTCTCTACTACTGACCCGTCGCTGTTTCTGCGCACCGACACTTCTTTGCCACCGTTCTACATCCTCGTGTACGTCGACGACTTGGTCTTTGCCACAGCTGACACTCCTGGACTCGCCCACGTGAAGTCCGAGCTGCAGAAGAGACACACGTGCACAGACCTGGGTGAACTGCGCATCTACCTTGGCTTGCAGATCACCCGGGACAAAGCACAGCGCACCATTACCCTGACTCAGTCACACATGGTGCAGCAGGTCCTTCAGCGCTTCGGCTTCACGTACTCCTCGCCTCAGGCCACTCCTCTGCCTACTCGCCACTCGCTCTCAGCTCTGCCTTCGGATGAGTCCGTAGAGTCGAGTGGCCCGTACCCAGAGCTTGTTGGGTGCCTCATGTACCTGATGACCTGCACTCGACCTGACCTTGCATACCCTCTTAGCATTCTCGCACGCTGTGTTGCTCCTGGGAGACACAGACCGGAGCACATGGCTGCAGCGAAGAGGGTGTTGCGCTACTTGTGCAGTACGCCGGGCATGGGGCTTGTGCTTGGAGGGCAGAGTCCAGTGGTCCTCACTGGGCACGCAGACGCTTCTTGGGCGGACGACCAGGCTACGCAGCGGTCGTCACAGGGTTACACCTTCAGCCTTGGTTCCGGCTCTGTCTCATGGTGGGCTACCCGCTCGTCTTCTGTTCTCGGCTCCAGTTGTGAGGCTGAGATCTACGCCGGGGCCATGGCTGCACAGGAGCTTCGCTGGCTCACCTACCTGCTGACTGACCTTGGCGAGGTGCCTCATTCTCCTCCAGTGCTGTACGTAGACAACAAGGCCATGCTGGCCTTGTGTCGAGAAGAGAGTCTAGAGCACAGAATGAAGCACATTGCTCTTCGCTACTTCCTTGCTCGTGAGCTGCAGCAGCGTGGTCAGCTCCGTCTTGCTTACGTGGCCTCTGAGGCCAACACTGCTGATATCTTCACCAAGGCACTTGCGCCTTGTGATCATCAGCGCTTCTGCACTCAGCTTGGTCTTGTGCTTGCCTTGCCTCACTTGCTCACCTCTTGACCTTGTTTGTACTGTTACATATATATACCCCTGCTCTTGCTTGTCTAGCCTTCTATATATATATGTACTCCTGCATGTGAACTGGCCTTGTGGCCTTGAACTTGTGCTCGGAATGTGTGGTGACTTTGTGATCCACCCTGAGCTTGCTTTGCTCTGCTTGACTGGTCTTGTGACCCCTTGTTCTCCCCCACTTTGCCTATGGGGGTGTGTCAAATTATAATGTTGTGTAGGCTGTAGTGGGGTAGCCTATATGGGGTACACAATTCTGGGGTTGCATACTTGTATCACTTTCATTTCTTAGTCATTCATTCTCGTTTCTTCTCATCCATAACCCCCCAGGCCAACATGCCTGTTACCCTTCCCTAGGATCAATCGGGGATCACCAGTGAACCTCTGACATCCTAAACCAGCCTGCGAATCGGCCACAAAAATTGTTAAATCGCCGAATTTGAAAAGGGTGGCTGAAAAAGAGTCGACTCTAAATTGGCCACCTCGTCGTTGTTCACGAAAAATATGACGACCATTCGGTCGTCTAAAATTCGGCCACACCCTATGGGATTTAACACGCCCTTATCTGAATCTCAACTTTCCATTGAGCGCTTCATTGTGTGACTATACGTGATAGAATCGTGGGGCAACGAGTAACCATATGTGATAGCCAGTGACCATCCGTGATATATTCGCCCATTTCATTGACCGTTTCTGATAACCTTGTGACCATTTGTGATAGCGCGCGCTGTATAGTGACCATTCCTATCATGGTTTTATGATTATGTTTTTTTAAGTGCTGAGTTTTTTTGTTATACTTTGGAACTCATAACACGCACTCTCGTTTAAAACTCATAACATGAACGCACTAAAACGGGCCGCGCTGCCGTCTGCCGCCGTGCGCTCTGGTGGAGTCAGCTGGAACAGTTAGCCAAGAGCACCACGTCAATTCATGCCCTGATTGGGGCTCTCGATTCGCTTTGGAGGTTCATTTTGCCACTGCAGTGTGGCAGCTGTGGGGTTGTCGTGAATAAACTGCAGTCTGCTCTCTCTCCCCATTTCGGAGCTGGCTGTTTAGAATGTAATAAAACAGGGTTAATACTGTGGGACAATTGCCATGTCGACTGATCGAAGTGAGTGTCTTCTCTGGTGTCGCTCTTGCTAGTGCTGTGCAGTCTTAGGGGTCACCTCTGTTGGACCCACCTTCAAGCACCCGCTTTTGTTGAGGTGATCCAGACGGGTTTTCCATTGGATCACCTCAACAAAGGCGGGTGCTTTCTGGATGGAGCTCAAACAAGGGTTTGTTGTACAGAATGACAGCTGTTAATTATATGATGGTTGTATCCATGTCAGCAGAGATGAGTGGTCGCAGTGTGACTCCCAAAACTCACGCGGAATATGGGCTGTACAGGGTAAAACCTCCTGAAATTCGTTGCCCTGCTTTAAAGCTCTCGTCCACCGACAATGTTGGAGCACTCGTGGCGAATCTACAACATGGGCGACCGATTCCCGATGCGCGTCGCAACAACCTCTGAACTGGATTGGTGGGCGAAATGAAAGAGGAGCATTTGCGTTCCGACGAACGTCGCTAGACCCTTACCCATCGCATGGACAGAATCCTTACCGGATACCCCTCAACCCAACCGAACACCGAACAAACCAACCAACCAACCAACCATCCCTTGTAATCCTTCACATAAGAGCCACGGGTGCAGAAATTGCGCTCGATCACAATTGTGTTGGATCGGTCGCGGTGATCAAACAGCAACTTCAGGTGTTCTGGAAGTTGGTGCAGGGCACTCATCCGTAGGAGCACTAATCTCTTCCACGGGCCATGGCCATTCCTCGCACAGTACCGTTCGCGGCAGCGGCTTGGCTGACACTCTTCACATCATTTCTAGTGTACTCTCACGCACGGGACCTCTCCAACCGCCGCCTTCCCACCACCAGGAGCTCCGAAGCCGTTGCGGATTTTCCCTCACCTCTCTCCTGGTCTTCCCCCGAAGACGCCGGACATGACGGCGCGCGCGGCGATATCGGAGATCCGACTTCGCACCGCAGCTCTCTCGCCATCGCCGCTGCCGCCGAAGTTGAAAAGCCGGCGAGATCCTCGACGCGGTCCGCGACAAGCGGCTACTATGACGGACCGCGACTGTCGGTGGAAGCGGCGATCCCAGAGTGGCTGGACCGGAACGCGCTGCGTGATTTGGAGGAACTACTCATGGATGTGCTCGGTGAACCGCTCGGAAGCGGCGACCAACATCATGATAATGAAGTTGATGACCGTAGCGCGTTTGGAATTGGTGACTGGGATATGCCGGCGGGGCCTACCGATTGGAGCGACGAGGGGGAGAAAGGAGGTGGTGCGTCTAGGGGAGCGAAGGACGCGAGTGCGGCGTTCGGGGATCGTGGGGAGCGGGAAAGCGGCGCGGGGACGACAACCGGCGGCGCTAGTACTAGCCGCAGCAGCAGCAGCGCAGGCGACCGCGGTTCCATCATCCGCGGAAGCGATTGCGGCAGCAACGACTGTGGTGGTGGTACGGAGAGTGTTCCGCCGGGGAAGAGGAGGTCGCTGCTGGGAAAGCCGGTACTAGTCCCGAACCTGATTGTGGCTCAGGACGGGTCGGGAAACGTCACTAACCTCCAGGTATGTGGGTATGCGGCGTTGGTTCGCAGGCGGGGTGATTAAGCCTAAGGCCTACCACGTGGCGTACTCATTTGTCTGAGAACCACGCTGATACCAAAAACGCATGCAGCTTGGTTGGACAATTTCATTAATGCTCTTCAAAAACTGGAATAGGCTCTTACCTTTGGGAGACCTCTGCAGCTCTTATGTGATTGAGCTAACCCCAGTTGCTTCGAAAAGCCTTTACTCCATGCATGGTTTATCCTCTGTGTGGTATTCTTTTTCCTCACCTCTAGTTCTCACCTACCCCAAAACCCTCTCCTCTCACACCACGCACGCTCCCACGACGGCGCCAGGACGCTGTGAGGATCATCAACAGTGATATGAGCAGGACATGGTACATAGTGCAGTTGAAGCCGGGGCGCTATGTGGGCAACGTGCAGGTGGAGCGGGTGAATGTGGTGCTGCTGGGCAGCGGTGCATGGCGGACGGTCATCACAGGGAACCGCAGCAACGGCGCTGGCTTCAATACATGGGATACCCCCTCCTTTGGTCAGTCGCTCTGCATGCTACCCCGCACTTGCACCACTCTCCTCTCCTACCTCGCAGCTTCCCTCAAACCTCCCTCTTCTCAACCCCGCCCTCTCCCCCACGTCCGTCTCAATTTCTCTCTAGCTTATCGAGCTATCACTGCCCTTGAACCGTTTCTGTTGCTTTCCCAGCTAATGCTGGTTAACTGCGCATGCTGAGCTTGTTATTCTGGCCCTCTTCTCATCCGTCTTTCTCTCTCCGATTATGCTGGCTCTCAGCTGCAGCGGGAAACAACTTTGTGACGATGGGCATTCGCTTTGAGAACACTGCACGGCCTCGCATGGAGGCTGCAGTGGCATTCCGATCAACCGCGGACAGAACCATTGCGTACCGCTGTGTCTTTTCTGGCTTCCAGGTGCAATCTCGTCTCTTCTAATTGCTCTCCTCTCCTCTCTTTGGAACTGCCTCTGAACTCTTGCCTTATAACTCTGCCCTCTTCTTGCTGCTCTCTCCCCTCTGCTCGCTCGTCAAGGCCCCAAATCCGTTTCCACCTGGTCTGCTCTGCTCTTCCACTTCCAACCATCCTGTCGCTTCCAAGCATAACTGAACCAGGCAATTCAATAGATGCCCTTCCCTTCTCCCAATTGCTCTCTGAGCCTTCATCCAACCCCTACTCCTCTTTACTTCTGCCTTACTCCACTATCACACCACCCGTTTCTCCCACCTTCTTCTTCCTCCTCTTCCAGTCCCTCTTACTCTACCCTTTCTCTCCCAACACCCCCATCTTTGCGTCTATCTTGTCTCACTCACTCTCCCTCGCCCGCTCTTTCGCCCTCTTGCTCCCCTCCCCTTCCCCTCTCCCTTTCCCTCAGGACACACTCAACGCGCATCAAGGCCGGCAGTACTACCGCAACTGCGTCATCTTTGGCCACGTGGACTTCATCTACGGCCGCCGCGGCGCGGCCGTCTTTGACCGCTGCCGCATCGCTCCCATCCCGCGCCCGGGGCAAACCAGCCCTGCCATCATCGCCACGCACGGCGGAGAATCACTCTCATTACGTGAAGGCGGGTTCGTCTTCTACCGGTGCATGGTTGCCGGAGTCACTCCGGGGTTGACCGCGTATCTGGGCAGGCCGTGGTTTCCGTCCGCGCGTGTGATTTACATGTTCAGCTACTTGTCAAAAACTATCCTTCCCGAGGGGTGGGCTGAATGGCCCGGAGAGATATTTGGGCCAACTTCGTTTCTGGGAGAGTACAGAAACACAGGGCCGGGTGCGGGGGTGAGTGGGCGTGCGAGGTGGGTTCGACCTGGGCGGTTGAATGCAATGCAGGTAGCTCCGTTCATGCCCGAGGCATATATCCGCGGCAGCAGGTGGGTGGGCAGAACACCTTTGGAGATTGTGTACCCTTGACGGTTTGGGAGTTGAAGGCATGGATTGATGCCATGGAGGCCAGCATGGGGAGTTGGACTTAAGGGGACGAGCAGCTAAGTGTGGCTGGTCCTCTGGTGTTTTTGGCCTTGATGCACGTGTGGCTTGCTGTGATGGCGAGGGTCCACTGCTCTTGAGCTCATCTCGAGCTCTGTACCAGCTGGATCATTGTGCATATTTTTTTCCTCTCTTTTTTTACAGAGTGTGTTTTTTTTTTTTTTTTTTTTTTTTTTTTTTTTTTTTTTTTTTTGATACCACCAGCGCACAGTACAAAGCAGCTGCGTTCTCAGCTGGGAATCCAAATCGGCCACAATTTAATTAGAACGATATTGAAGTCCTATGGTTTGATTTCCTATTTGATATATACAAGGTAATGCTGAAATCTTCCCATACTATTGTTTCTGGAATGGACCATGGTTAGCAACAGGGATGACATTATGTAAGAGTGCCTACTTCCTGCGTTTGAATTAGACTCGATGATGGTGCAAGACTACAACGAGTGTAAAACAGCACACCTACGAAATATCTCTTGTTCGTCCTCCCCAGACCACACTTCAGTATGTGTGGTGCGCCGCCACAAACCTGTGGTGCGGGCCCTGCTTGGTTGGAATAGACCAAGAATGTTTTGTTTTAGGAACAAGAAATGTTTGTTTTAAGTGACTCTCCCAGTTGCGTACCCGATTTCGCAAACTGGGGTCTCGGGGTGGTTGCCACTGATGAGTCTGATGTGAAAAGCTTCTGACAGTGAATACTGAGCGTGGGTTGTGATAGAAAACCATTTGGAACAACCCGAACAATCCTTTGGAACGTTTGGGTATGTTCTGTTCTGAATTTCCGCTTGATGAGCCACATCAATCCATGAGCGGCTGGTGTCGCATACCAGTCAGCTTCACAAGTTTCTGGAGGAAGCCGCCAGAACACCTTATGACGTGGCAGGTTCGGCAAGCTCTCTCTCTGGCAGCTCATCATCACCCTCCAGCGCCGGCAGCTAGGATAAGGTGCCCTGCCTGGTTCAACATCGAGGTTCGGATAGAAGCCAAAGCGGCGTCCTGGCGCCGCCGAATAACGCGACTTGGCGTGCCAAGGCTGACTAGGCGGCTCGGAGAGAATCAAAGGTACATTACGAAGGCTTTCGCTGAATCGTACACATGTCGTGTAGTCTCGCGTCACCTATCCTGTTCGCAACTCTCGTCAACAAGCCCCTTGTCCCCACTTCGTCTCACAGCCGTTGGGGCGTTTCTCAAAACCTCATAGCGCTATTACTACTGGAAAACATTTGACCTCATTCGCTGTGCTTCACAAGCTCTCAACAATGGCGTCGTTTTCGCGTGCGAATCGTCATCTGCTAGCTGCCATCTTCGCGGCGTGCCTCATTAGCACTTTCTGCCTCCATGTGGACTCTCTGCGCCTCCCGCTCGCCACCAAGATCAACAGCGACGACCGTAATAATCACCGCACTCCTAGAAACCGCGGCGTCAAGCCAAACGCATCATCTCCTTCTGTCACGCCGCGCAGCTACGGGAAATATTTCCATCACGACATCAATATGCCTTTTCTATACGCCTTTTTTTTGTTTAATATGATTTTTCGTTCGTTGTCTTTCTTCGGCTTGTTCTATCTATCGCCATCTTGTTTTCAAGAAACGCTACTTCCATTGGGGGAAGCACCCCTCGCGCCGTGCTCCAGCCGTCTGCGTTAAGGCTATCCCCCCCTCGCGCGCACCCCCTCTCCACATTTTCCTTATCTTTGCCTTGTTTCAAGAATTCCGGCCCTCCGTCTTTCTTCTTCCCCAATTTTCTATTCCCGTTCCCTCTCTTCTTCTGTCCCCACTTCCTCCCCGCGCAGAGATGGTTCTGGAGGAGTTGGTGGGCGCGTGGGGCGACTTCACGGGATCCGACACGTGGAAGGACTCTGACAAGAAGTGCGACCACTACGTGGGCATCAAGTGCGCCAACAACGGCTACGTCATCAACATGTGAGCCGACTCGCGCCGACGTGCGGACGCACGGCCGCGCGCCGCGTGAGACAAACGCCGAGCTGTCTGCTCTTTTTCATTTTCCGTTTTCATTGTCGAGCGTTCCTTTGCCACCGCCGCCGTCGCGTTTCCTTCGCCGAGCTGCCGTCGTTGTGCATTTGCGCTGCCGCCAGGCGATTTCTACCATCTCAGCTGACGCCTCCTCACTCCTGGCCGAATCGCGCATTCCGCGTGTCTCCCGCCGCGATGGCAGGACGATCGCGGACGCAGGCGCGTCGGGAGCCATCGGCGTGCTGACGAAGCTGCAGAGCCTCAAGTACCTGTACGTGCGACGTGCGACTTGCGATGTGCGACACCACCTTTTCCCTTTGCATCTGCCGATTCCTGCTTTCCGACACTGTCACCGTGCGTTGATTCACTGACCGCTGCTTGCGTGTCGGTTGATCCTCCTCTTTTATCTGTCTGTGGGCTTTTGCAGTGACCTCTCTGGCAACGACATCACCGGGTCCGCTGCCTCGCTCTCCAAAATCACTGCTCTCTCGTACATGTGAGCACTCTGCTCTTCGCTGCTCTCTCTTCACTGCTGCAGTTACCAGGCTACCAGCGCCCTCTGCCATCCATCGCCTCCTTCCCTCCTTAACCACTCTCCCCCCTCCCACACCCTCGCGCCTCTCACACCCTCGCGCCTCTCACACCCTCGCGCCTCCCACACTCTCGCCCCTCCCATACCCTCGCGCCTTTAAACTTTTGCGCCTCCCACACTCTTACGCCTCCCACACTCTCGGCCCTCCCATACCCTCGCGCCTCCCACGATTTTGCGCCTCCCACACTCTTGCGCCTCCCACACATTTGTGCCTCCCACACTCTTGCGCCTACCACACTCTCGCCCCTCTTACACTCTCGCCCCTCTCTCTCGCCCCTCTTCAACTCTCGCCCCTCTTACACTCTCGCCCCTCCCACACCTTCGCCCCTCCTTGCCTAAGGCTCTGGCCTGGTTCTTGCTCGTTCTTTTCCCAGACAAAGCATCAGCCCACTGATGTTCCACTCACTGCACCAACCCACCTTCCATGTCCATCCCCCCCTTTTCCACCACTCCACCACCCTGAGCAGAGACGTGTCAGGCAACAGCAACCTGAACACGGGGTTCTCGTCGCTCACCAACCTCAAGCGGCTCAAACACCTGTCAGCCACCCGCCGCCTCATCCTTCCTTCCCTCCCATCGCCTGCCCGTCGCCCCTGAACGGCCCCATACGCTCCTCACAGTCCCTTCCATCTCCAGTCTCTCAAGTTTGCTCATTTGTTTGTTGCTTTGTTTGGTTGTTTCTCCCCCTCTCCCGCCGTCGCATACACTTCACCACTCCTCACCTGCAGTCTGGATATACCACCAACTCAACTCGAGTCTATCACCTCCTTCTCCCTGTCACCCACCAACTCTCTCCCAATGCTCATCCACGTTAGGGACATCGCCGACACAGGCTACGAGGGCTCCATCTCCACCTTCGTCTCCAAGCTCACGGCCCTCACTCGCCTGTACGCCCATGCTCACCTGCTCTGCACAGCCAACTGCAATCCTCCCTCCCTCCTCATGTCACCTGGCCCCTCGTTGCTCCTCCTGTCACCAAGTGCCGCCCCCGCTGACGCACCACTCCCTACCTTTCTTCACCACTCCTTTCCTGTCCGCTGCACTTCCTGCCTTCATTCTGGAGCGCCTGTTATCCTTCTCTCCGCACGCTGCTTCATGCTGCTCTCTTTGCACCATGCCATTTCATCACTCTTCCCCCTCTCCCTCCTCCCCTCATGCTTCCCATGCACATCTGCTCTGCTCTGCCTAGCCATCTACAATCCCGCCTCACTCCAAGTATCACCTGGCCCCTCGTTGCTCCTCCTGTCACCCTAGTGCTGCTACGTCCACTGTCCAACCACTCCCTTTCTTTACCGCCCCTTTACGGTCCACTGTCTCACTACCTGCCGTTTATTTTGAATCCCTGCCTGCCCCTCGTCCTGCACGCTACTTTGCTTTCCGGTCCGGCCTTCTCCCTTCCCCTTTCACCCTTCACCCCTCACCCTACGCCCCTCACCCTTCAGCCCTTCATCCCTTCCCCATTCCCCCACTTTCCCATTCTCCCTTCCCCATTCTCCGTTCCCCTTCCGCCTTTACCCTCCTCGCCCCCTGCTCGCCCACCGTGCTGCCTTCACCCTCCTCCCCGTGCCACCCACCACACCACACCACACCGCACTACACCACCCCACACCAGCGACATGAGCTCCAACTTCCTCACTGGATCCATCCCCAACTACCTCAGCACTCTCAAGAAGCTCGTGTACCTGTGAGTCGCTCACTCGCTCCCTCACCTGCCCGTGACTCTCTCTCGTGCGCTTTCGCTGTGGGAGGCTTGAACCAGCATTCCGCGAGCACTTGCCTCAAGCTTATTATCCCCCTTAATCCCGTCTGCTCTCTCCTCCGGATCTCTCCCCCTGCTCCCTCCGCCTGCTCCCCTGCCCCCCACCCCGCAACTCTCTGTGGTGCGTGCAGCGGGCTGTCAGCCTCGGGGGAGGACGGGCTCAAGGGGACCCTGCCCTCCGGCCTGGGGAAGCTCACCCGCCTCAACGAGCTGTGAGCGCTCTGGGTCCGGCCCGGGGGGAGTAGGGGGGGAAGGGGCGTGCTGAGAGTGTGGAGAAGGTGGGGTGGGGGGAATTAGTTGTGGTCAGGAGTGGGAAAAGATGGGTAGCATCAGGGGGAGGAAAGGAAAAGGAAAGGGGAAGGGAAGGGGGAGGGGGAAGAAGAGGAGGGCAATGGTGTAAGAGATTGTGATGAAGGAACAGGCCATCTTCCTTCTTGTCTGCTCACTCCTGCCTAAACCTCAACGCTGCCCCAACCGTCCCCTGCCCTCGTTTCCACCCTCTCCCAACCTCCCCCTTTATCGGTGCAGCTACCTGCATCGCAACGGTCTGAGCGGGCCAGTCAGCGTGCTCACCTCCCTCACCAAACTCAACCGCCTGTGCGTCCTGCTGCTATTGAAAACCATTTGGTCTTTCTCATCCTTTTTCTCATTGTTGCCTCACCCATTGTAATGTGAACGCAACTCCACTGATTCCCCGTCTGCACGCCCCCCTGACTGATCCCATGCCGCCGTGCCGTCATGCCACCGTGCCGCCATGCCACGGTGCTGCCAGGCTACTTGGCGACAACAACTTCAACGGCTCCTTCCCTCAGGGCTTCTCCAATCTCAAGAGCCTCAACTACCTGTGAGCCTCAACTACCTGTGAGCTCTTTTTTTCTCACCGGCAGCTATCCCACAGTGTGTGTCACCATCTCTTCACCTACTGCCTTCCCTATCCGTTCTCCATGGCTCCAAGCATCTTGTGTGTCTGTGCTGGGCGCTGCTTCTTCCACATGTCCTATCTGCTCACGTGTCCTTGCTGCCTTGCCTACCTGTCCTGTTGCTGTTCAGGAGCATGCGCTACAACGCATTTGAAGGGCGCGTTCCCAATGTCATCAGCACTCTTAAAAAGCTCACTTACCTGTACGCTTAACCCTCCCCCTCCTCACCACACAATCCCCCTTCCATGAGCATGTTGCTGCACACTCACCTAGCACCCTGTTGTTTTCCTCCTTTTCCTCCCCGCCTGTCACCTCATCCCGCCCTCCACTCCCTCTCCCGTGACCTGGCCTGAGTGTGAGCAACATCTCCGTGTGTCTGAATCACCCCTTGTTGCCCGTACCACCCCTCTCTCTGTCTGGCAGCTCGCTGTACAACAACCGGTTCAAGGGCATTATTCCCCGCACCATCACCTCTCTCACCAAGCTCAGCAACCTGTGCGCTTCCCTCCCTCCCTGCTTCCCTTGCTTCTCCTCGCTACCTTCCAACTCCATCTCATGCCTGCTGCTGAATCCACTTTGTAGTTTTCTTTTATCTTCTCAGGGCTAGTCTTTGTCCGCCTGTCTCCTTCCCCTCCTCACTAGCTTCGTTATTCTCACTGTCTTCAAAACTCATCCTCCCTCACCTGCATCCTCCCTCCTTCCTCAGCCCACTTTCCCCTTTTTCTACCTCCCTCCCACGTTCCAGATCTCATCCCCCTCTTCTCTTTCACTCTCGTACACACACCCATGCTCACACGCACACACACCCCCACTCGCCCACGCACATACACATCTTCTGCCCACCTCATTCCCACATGCGCATGTCCTGTCTCAACAGCCTTCTGCAGGACAACTTCTTTGATGGCTACGTGCCCTCCTTCTCATCCCTAAAGAAGCTCACCGAAGTGTACGCCTCTCTGACCTTCATTCATTCACTCTACCCTTTCCCTTTCCGTTTCTGCATTCCCTCCTCCTTGACTTGTCCGATCTTACACATTCACCACACAACCCACCTGTGCTCTCGCCCTTGCTAATTTCGCTCCGAACACCCCGTCAGCTGACCCACCTCTGATGATTTTTTCTTCTGCATTGCATCTTCTCCTGCTCCCACCGACACACCACAGGGACCTGAGTGCCAACTACTTCACCGGGCCTCCTCCCAGCTTCTACAAGGCCCCTACCACGCTCAACCTCGACGACAACTACTTCTTTGGTTCTTCCCTGCCCAAAGACAAAAACGGTGATACTATCTGTGCGGCGTCTCTCGCCAAGAACTGCCTCACCATTCCTTCCTCGTACAGCTGCGGCACCAAGCCGTCGCAGAGGACTGCTGCTGCGTGCAACAAGTTCTGCGGCACTTCTGGGAACGTGCAGTGTGGTGGCGTTCGCATTGGCATCTGCTACCCGTCGGCTAAGGTTGTGGAGACCAGCGGGAGTACCATCGATCCTGGATGCCTTTGCGCCAATGGGTGGAAGGTGTCTGGTGATAAGCAGAAGTGCACCAAGACAAATGTTGACAATGGGCAGTAGAGGCATGCATAATTAGGGGATGATGAAAGTGATTTGATGCGGAGATGTTGTTTGGAAAGCATGAGGGATGTTGGAAGGGGTGGGGAATAAAGAAGGATTACCCGTAGGTGGGGGATGACATGGGGTATGGAATAAATAATTTTGTATGCTGCTGATATTATTGGATTAAAAAGCTTCAAAACTTCTCCTTGGTATAATTACACCAATATAACGGTGTACCTAGGATGGTGGAATCTTCCCATACCGCTGACTTTGAATTACCAGTAGCGTCCATCCAATCATAGGGATGTCTAGCCATGTTGCTGCATCCACAAAGTCCCGCCTTATTCCTTCACTGAACAGCTCAACCTTCCTCGGACTCTGGCTTCCCGTCCAAGGTGTCCCTTTCAAATCACCACCCCCCCATACAGTCACAAAATCGCAACGCCACACAGATAGCACTGCCAAGTTCGCGCCTCAAATGATGTATCCCTTCTGCCGTCAGTTGGAAAAGTCAATGGGTTTACGAGAAGAGCGAGTGAAGCGCGACAACATCCTTGGAGGAACTTGTTGTGAATAGCACACGCATCACGTGCTACCAGGCCCTCAGATTCGTTTTTGGCCTGTCTGATTCGTCAGACTAGTACAAAATTTTAGTCTGAAAATATCAGAGTTGGTATAAAAAAAAGGCTGAAATTTCAGAGTGTCCTAAAAAAAAAGTCTGATCATTCAAAAACAATGTATTCAATGTTTCATCGGAATGTAATCAATGTTTCATTCATCTGCTACCGAAACACACAACACTAAGGGGATTTCCGATAAAACATGCTCTGACAGGGCGAATATATGTGTCAGGGCGAATCTTGTGGTGCGAAAGAGCGAATCTGCAATGTCTGGGCGAGTTTTGTGTGATTGGTCGAAAATTGTTGTGCTCTGACAATGCAAATCTGTTGTGTCAGGGCGATTTTGCTATGATTGGGCGAAAATCTTGTGCTGTAAGGCTCGGATTTGCTGTGTCAAGGCGATTTTGCGTTGACATTGCGAATCTGTTGTGACCCGTAAGTCCGAATCACCAGTCAAGGACGCGTTTGTACTCTGAATGATAAGAGTACACTCTCAGAAAACTCTGAACTCTCAGAGTTAGCCTAAAAAAAAGTCTGAAAATTACAGAGTTTGGGCCCAAAGAAGTCTGATTTTAACAGAGTACACTGGAAAAAAAATCTGAAATATCAGAGTTTTTTGTGCAAATCAGAGAAAAAAGTCTGACTTCGTAGGGCCTGCGTGCTACCCACTTTGGCACTCCAACACCTTCCCCTCAAAACACTCTCGTAACTTTCCTTCCAACTTTCCCAAAGTTACCGGTACCCAAGGCCCTACGATATCAGGAATTTTCCCCTGAAATTTCTGATTTTCAGCCTAATTTTGTGCACCTACACTGAATTTTCAGTGTTGAGATTTTTGTGACACTGATTTTTTCAGCCTTTACTTCATAGCTAACACTGATGTTTCAGACTTTTATCCAAGTGTACACTGAATGCACATTCCGAATCCTTCCCGTAAAACACCCGAGAGATTCAGACAACATACATTTCCACAATATAAAATTATTAGATTAGACACTGAAACCTCACAGGATCAACTGTTTCAGTGGTTAGCGAAATTTATTCCGAATGGTAATGTCAGAATATTATGCTCTACCTGTAGTGGGGTGCTCTATAGCGAGTACAACCCTTCTAGGGTTTGCTATTTGTATCCTCATTCTTGCTAGTGCAACCCCTCCTCTTTCTTCTAAACTTTCACATGCTATCAGAGCAGGTCGATCCCCTTGGATCGATCCTGTGGGTGGGCTTACCACCTTCTTGCTTCCGCTGCAACTGCTACCACTACTCTCGGTGCCGCACGCCCCGTGGCGTGCGGCAGTTTTTTTCTTCCCGCCGTGCGCCCCGAGGCGCGCGGCGGTTTTCTGCCCGCTGTGCGCCCCGAGGCGCGCGGCGGTTCTCTGCCCGCTGTGCGCCCCGAGGCGCGCGGCGGGCTTCTGCCCCGTCATTCACCACGTCGCCCTCGGGAGGCACCGCGACGGGCGACGGGGACCCGTGCGTCGCCCCCCGTTGCCCGTCGTGGCCTGCGCGCGACCCGTACAGGCAGCGCGCGGCCCGTACGGGCTGCGCCAGGCCCGCGCGCGACCCGAACGGGCGGCACCAGGCCCGCGCGCGGCTCAGGCCGCCTGCGCGCGGCTCGGGCGACTGTACCAGGCCCGTGGTGGGCCCGTTCCTTGCTGCCCCTGCCCTCCCTGCTATCCCCCAGTGCTTCTACTGGCGCCCCACCCCTCCTACTCCCCATTCTCCTGCATTAGGGTTTGGGGGTGAGGGGTATGGGGGTGAACCCACTGTGTGCCGTTTCCTGCTCCTCCTCCTCCTCCGTCTCCTTGTGCTGCAGCTGCCGCTGAGGGGGGTTGGACTTGTTGGAGCCGGTGGAGTGGTACTAAGGGGGGGTGAAGGGGGAGTGGAGCTAGGGGTGAAGCAGCGGGTGTGTGTCAGGGGGAGTGGGATAGTTTGGGGAAGCTGAATGGAGGTTGCCGTCGTGTCGCCAGCAACACCTGTAGTCCGGGGAGTTGCTCTGGTAGCCCAGTCGTAGCCACCTGTGCCAGTCGCCCGTGGGTCCGTTGCTCGTCTGCCGCTACTTAAGACGCGGGGCCAGTTACTCCAGTAGTCCGGAGCGTTGTTCCGGCAGCCACTGTGCCAGTGTGCCTCCTGTTGCCCGTGTGTCTGCAGCTTCAGCCGTCGCCTCCTATCTCCTCTCCTCTCACTCCCTCTCCTCCTCCTCACTTGCCCGTTGTGACTACCACTAGCATTGCTCATAATTGTGAACTTAAACTATTGCTTCTTGAACTTGTGCTCAGAATGTGTGGTGACATTGTGATCCACCCTGAGCTTGTACTGCTTTGCTTGCTCTGCTGATTACACCCCACTTTGGCTATGGGGGTGTGTCAGAATATTATGCTCTAGCCTGAAGTGGGGTGCTCTATAGCGAGTACAACCCTTCTAGGGTTTGCTATTTGTATCCTCATTCTTGCTAGTGCAACCCCTCTTCTTTCTTCTAAACTTTCACAGGTAAGGCTCCCGGTTTGTTTCCTTCGGCTGTCATGTCTCATCAAGGCATACTGTGATTGAAAATTCAGGCTTCTATTCTTAGGAACCCTGAAAATTCAGGCTTTTTTTTAGGAACCCTGGAAATTCAGGCTTTTTTTCACAGGGACCCTGATGCATGAATGTCCCTAAAAGTGAATCTGAGGGCCTGTACCCAACCCCTCCAAACCCATTCAATTTACCCAACCACCAAGACTTTCTTTTTATAACTCATATTTTCCAAGCCAAGCCCACCAAATCCTCCTTAACTATCTTCAACCACCATAGCCCTTCCTAATCCAACTCAACCAAATTCACAACAGCTTCTCCTATTCACCTCCAAGTCCCACCATAAGGCACATGACTCCTCATGGTTTTCCATGTGCTTTCTTTCCTTACTAACCAAATATTACCCAAGTCATCTACCTCCTCCAATATTCCTCCCTCCATGTGCCTTCAAGCACATGCATCCAATTCCTAGTCATCAACCTCCACATGCCTCACATTTATTCATTCCTTCCTTCCTTTCCCAAGTCATCAAAATTCCCAACTCATCTCTTAAGGATTTATGATTACCACCTCACCTCCTCTTCCAAGACACCAAAGCTATCGTATCTCCTCCATTCATCTCTTCACAAGTCATTCAAGTTCTCATCCAACACTACAAGACCTACAACTCCAACTCATCTAGTGCTCAACTACCATCACATGCTCTATTACTAATCAACTCCAACAACCAACTCTACAAGTTCTCAAGAAGGTTCTTCAGTGACAACAATGCATCTCAAGCCTCTTCATTAAGCTCCTCCTCATGCTCCTTCCCAAGCTTCTCCTTCAAGCTCCTCTTCTACTACAAAGGCTCCTCACTAGCAACCAAGTTCAATGTCTCCAAAGTTGAAACTTTCATGCTACTCTCTTCCAAGGCTACCATTGATGGTTACTCTTCCTATGCATGGCTATCTTAGAAAATTAGGCATGAGAGAAGTGACTAGAATGTCGAGTGATTTTGGTACAAGGGAGAACCCTAAGGGGTTGTACCCCAAATAGTCTACCCCACTACACCCTACCCAGTAATATAACATACATAGATATGTTTGATACACCCCCATAGGCAAAGTGGGAGAGAACAAGGGGTCACAAGACCAGTCAAGAGAAGCAAAGCAACTCAGGGTGGATCACAACGTCATTACACATTCCAAGCGCAGGCAAAAGGCCACTAGGCCAGTTCACATGCAAAGGTATATATGGAACAACAACCGTACAGTGATCACTACCTAGCAAAAGCAAGCAAGCCGGTATATATATGAAGATCACAGTACAAGCAGAGTCTACAACAAGTGTCGAAACGTAGGCACAAGGCCCAATAAGGTACAAAAGCACTGATGATCACCAGACCGAAGTGCCTTGGTGAATATATCAGCAGTGTTGGCCCAAGTGGCCACGTGAGCAAGACGAAGCAGACCCCGCTGCTGCAACTTTCGAGCCATGAAATAACGCAGAGCGATGTGCTTCATTCTGTGCTCCAGTCTGTGCTCCTGACACAAGGCAATGGCTACCTTGTTGTCGACGGACTGAACTGGAGGAGAACGAGGCCTCTCTCCCAAGTCGGTCAGCAGGTAGGTGAGCCAGCGTAACTCCTGTGCAGCCATGACTGTGGCGTAGATCTCAGCCTCACAATTGGAGCCGAGAATAGAAGACGAGTGAGTAGACCACCAAGAAACAGAGCCAGAGCCAAGACTGAAGGTGTAACCCTGTGACGACCGCTGCGTAGCCTGGTCGTAACCCCAAGAAGAGTCCGAGTGACCAGTGAGGACAACGTTGCCCCGTCCTCCAAGCACGAGCCCCATGCCTGATGTACTGCACAAGTAGCGCATACCCTCTTAGCAGCATCCATGT